GTGACATTTCTTGGTTTGGCAAATGAAAAGCTGGAGGTCACCAGAAGAGTGGAAATAACTCAGAGTTATGCCTGAATCCACGTGTAAAAGAGTTAGGGAACGGGAAAGAGCCCAGCGACCCTCCCTGGCCCTGTGGGAACTGAGGCAGGCATTTCACCTCCGCACCTCTGATTTTTCCCCGCCCACGGTTTGCAGTCTGTGATTTACGGAACTGTGAGATAAAAAGCTCATCTAATATGGTGGGAATCTTCCCTTTCTTTTAATAAAAAGGTACAACGAAGACTTCTGACCACTTTCAGTTTGAAAGTTGGCTTTTGGAGTAGAAAACTCTTCACATTAGTACTCTGCAGTGAGACACGGCAAAGCCACAAACGCCGGTCCATTAGCCCATCCCGGGGCTGCCTGCTTTTGTACCTGAAGTACTGCGGGAACACAGCTACACCCACTCCCTCGGGCACTGCCTTTTGCTGCTTTCCTCTGGCTACTAGAGTAGCTGCAATACAATGTATGGCCACGCGGAATAATAAACAATACAGGGGTGGCCGCCTGCTGACCCAGATATCGGTGTGCTTTCCCTGTACCCGCTACGCCAGTCACTGGAAACTTGATGCGACCTTCAAGTCTTGCCTGACTTCTCGCTGGACCTCCAGTCATATCCGCCAGTCTACTGGCGCTTCTACTTGGAAATCTCCTGGATATCTCAAGCTCAGTGGGGCCTGAAGGAAGTTGCTGCTCCGTGTTGTGTAGCATGGGACTGGCACCGCTCGGTCCCATGCATCAGGAGAAGAGGTGCCGCTCTTCTGTCCTCCTGCTTACCTCTCGTGTCCCTTCAGCTTTTTCCTCCTGCCAGTTTCATCTTTTAGCCATCCCTTGGCTCGAAGGCCCCCTTTCCATCCTGGCAGGCACTGCCCACATCTGGGCCCTGGCTACCTTCTGCAGGAAATTCTCCAGCAGTTTTGTAGCTGGAAGAGCTCCAAAGTTTCACTTTATGAAGGCCTGAAATAGGAGATATCACTCTCCCTAAAATCTTAAGGTTGGATCTACCTCTGCATTCTATAATCATGAGATGATCAGATTTCATTTATTTATTTGTTGATCAATGTAAGCGTTGCTGTTTAATAATTCCAAATACTGTATTTTATTTATAAAGTTTGTAAACCACTCTCCCATTTGTATCATGTGGTTCTTGGACAGCCTGGGAAGGGGTCTGGGGCAGGTACCTGTGCTACTCCACGTAAGGGGAGCAAAGCCTGGCTAAGGTTCCCTGATTTGGATTCATCTTCAAATAAAAATGCCCCCAACCTTAAGTGTTTCTTTTTTCCCCTTTTTGAAAGGAGAATCCTCCTTGCAAAGCACCTGTGAAGTTCAACTTTCTTCCCCCTTGAACACTAGGACTTCCACCAGGTACTATTTGATATGTCTTGGCTTCCACTACGAAGATCAGTATTTAGGAAAATGACAGTGAGTTATTATTTATTGCAATATCTATTGTTACAAAGGGAGACAGACTGAACAATTCCCATTGTTACAGATGCTACTTTAACTTGACAGCTGGCGAAGTCTGATAGGCAGTTTATTTACTTAGCCGTTTAACCAAATACATGTTTTCATTTTTCTTTCATCTCCTCAAAAGCTAACATTTCGTCCTTAAAATTATTCCGGCAACACATCAGTGAAGTATAAATTACCTGCCATCCCCATACCCGTCCTTATAATATTATTCTGGTTCTCTTCTGCCCCTGTTGACGCAGTCTTTCAAAAATACCTGATTCTCCCAGGTGGGAAGTAGGAGGAGAAATGGTGACATAATTGAAGATATTTTCCTTCATTGCTAAAATAGAACTGAAGCTTCCATCTTCAGAGATTGGGTTTGTCTATTTATTCTTCATGGGGAGGAATAGGGCTTTAACATATCAACAAATGTCATCCCTACCTCTCCAGAACTGCAGCTGGAGATCATGGTTGCAAAGGTGGTAAGAAGGAAGGGCTCTTGCTTTCCCACTATAGGAAGGCATGGGGGAAACAAAGCCATGGACATAGCTGTCTCTGCATGGTATCCCTTTTCCAATGTCCAGAAAGAAATAATGACCTAGAGTCAACAAAGTTCCAGTTGGGTGGATGGGGTTAGGGGATGGGAAGAACATCACCTGAGCCTTGTGTTCCTCTCAGCAGAGGGCTCTAGAGGTCCTCCTGCTGGCTTTGCCTGTGGGGGCTGGAGGGGTCCTCTCTAGAAGGTGGGGACCAGCCCATTAGCATACAACTCTTCGAAAGGCTCATCAAATGGCCACATGATGCTTACTAAGGGAATAATTGCTTCATCAAGATTAGAGACTGGTCTTCCACCAGAACTAGGAGAGACTTATAATTTACATGTGACACTAAGCCTTCATAATTTTTGAAAATGATAAGGCTCAAACTGGGACCATTCTCATTATGTGACAAGGAAAATCAGAGAGCTATCCATCAGGTTCCCTCCAACTCAAGATATTTTCAGGCAACTTTAAATTGGTTATTTGGACAGAGAAAGTATCTGGCAAAACCTCCCAGGCTGTGGCCGTATCTGAACTAAGGCCTAACAGGATACAGGTCAAGATAGTAGAACCAACATTTATTGAGCACTTATGATAGTGGGGATGGTAGTAGGGTTGCTGATGGGTGGTGATGGTGTAGGGCAGTGATGATGGCGGTGCTGGGGGTGGTGCTTATGGAGGTAGTTGTGGTGGTCATGATGGGGATGGGGATGAGAAGGGGAACTAACATCTACTGGGTTCTGTCTACGTGCCAGGCACTGTAGCGAGAACCCCACAAACACTGCCTCGTTTGCTCATACAGCAACCCTGTGGGGTTAACGTTATTTTCATCCCTATGAAGAAAACAAGACTAGACACTGATTGTGAAATCTTGGTGGGGTCCAATAACCAAGAAAGGGTGAAGCCTGATTCTGAACTCAGAATGTATTGCCGAGAAGCCACAATGTTGAAGCTGAGTACTCAGCTGAGTGCTCCATACTAGAGACTGAAGATACACTGCTATCTGTTTATATCACGGATAATATAAGCCTCCTATAGAGGATGAAGAAACTATGACTCAAAAGAAGTGATAGCTCTTGCCCATGATTTCCTACTATCAAGGAGCTGAGCTAGGATCCGAACTCAAACTCCAAATCCTGAGCTCCTGCCACTATGCCGCGCTCTGTCCATTTATGCCTCAGCCATGGCTTGCATGCTGGATGCAGCCTTGAAAGTGGAACAGACAGAAGCCCCATGAGACAGCCAGCACAGCTTATGTAATTGTTTCAAGCAGAAGAGACTCAGGAAGACAAGGGTTTGCTATACTGACCTGGGAATGGTGGAAGCCATCTTTGTTTTCTAGAAGAACTTCAATTTAGGAATTATTTTTGCTGTTATTCTGATGAATGGCTCTTGTGGCCTCTATCTCATTCATCAACATTTTCAAGGCAAGGTTGAGCACACAGAGTATAACATATGCAAGGGGTAGAAAATACCTCTTGGGGCTTCAGCCTAAGGCATCTACCCATAATCTGCAGCTTTTCAGTTCTTGGAGCATTTGACTTTGCCTTTGATAGACTAGCTCCCAAAATAATTTTGCAACATTGAATTTATAAATGGCCATAACAGGGTTTTGCAAGGCATGATGTAGTATTATGTGCTGTTGCCATTATATAAAGTGTGGCAAAAATACACACTATGTTAAGTTGTTTAATCATAAAATCTATTAACTAAATTCACTTTCAAAGCACGGTATTAGCTTTCAATAACGGTCACAGTAACGTATGCATGGATGGAGAATGCTTCTGAGGCAGCCTCAGAATCCATTTATGAACAGTGAAAACTGTTTACCATTTTAATGGCTCTGATCATACTTTTCAGGCCTAAAAAAAGGAGCTTTCTGGGTATGGCCTTGCAGTCCTATACATTTATGGAAGACTAGGAAAGGATCTGAAAATTGAACACATTTGTCAAGGAGTGACCTTAGAAATCATGTCTGGGTGATAAGGTGTACTTCTCTCTCCTGAGAAGGTTTGCTTCATCAGCTCCTCTTTCTTTTGATCAAATCAGATGTATTGAAATTCAAGGGCCAAAAGCCACTTCCAGTAAATGTAAGTACGGTTCCCTCCACATAGCTGCTGATGGAATCTGAAGTGAACTGGTGGCAAAGCACATGCGACAGCACAGGTACACACAGCAGAGCCTTGGAAGTGACAGCTACAGATCCCTGGGCTTTGAATGTCTTTCACACGGAAAGCAGGTGCAGGCCCCTTTCTGGCTGGATGCAATGGGCCCCCGTGATCTTAGAGCCCAATCAATCCTATTTCAAGCACTGCTTGGTTTTTTGTCATAGTCTCACTTCTCAGTGCGTCTGATTGGTGACCTCTTTGGATGTGTGCTGTGTAGGCAAATGCAGTGACATTTTGTGTAAAAGATTAAAGCATCTGGATCACAGCTCACTGAGAAATTACCAGGCTGGGCAGAACGTGTCTGTTTCTGAATCAGGCTGCTTTCAGAAACGCTACACCCCGAGGAATGTTGACTGCACCATTCTATCACTATTGCCCACACAGAAGACGCCATCAGTAAAGGATGACCATTGCCCACTTCCACCCCCAGACCTATGTCCTCGTATGTATGTGTCAAAGGTCATTCATCCAAGAGGAAAAGCAGAGTGCGAAGGAGAAATCAGACAACACGTGATGACCCACACACTGGTGATGCAGCTCAGGCAAACAGACATGGTGTGACACCACGAATAGCACCCAGGCAAGGAGACATGCTACAAATACGGGTGACGCAGCATGAGCAAGGGCTGATGGTGCCAGCATCAGGAATGGAGCTCAGACAGGAAATGAGAGTGCAAACATCAAGACTAGCACTGGCAAGGAGGGGTGCAAACATCGCGAACAGGAACTTGGAAGTAAAAAACAAGCAAAAGCAAGAGCAGCGGACTTCAGGGTAAAGGAGATCAAAAGGACAGATACCTACCCAGACCCGCACTATCTAGCTACCGGCCTGTGGACTTATGTTATCACCACTGGGCTCACCACTGGGCTCCCCAAATGGATCACTGGTGGAGGAGGCCTGTGATCCATCAGGCTAGAACACAAGAAGATAATACTTTTATTTTGAACAACTGAAAATATAAGATGACTAGGAATATTTTCATGCAGCAAATATAGTGAGTTATTTTAAAGGGGTGCAACTGAGTCAGAGGAAACCACCCCACAAATGCAAGAGGCTGTAACACCTTAACAAAAAGGCAGCATTTTCTGGCTCACTCATTTGAACATAAAACAAAGCCCGTTTAGTGGCACTTTAGTACTACAGAGTCAGAGCCAGCATTTTCTTGTGTAGGGTTCTACTTGTCTCGTCCATTGCAGAAAGAGAAGTCTCAATTTTAATGAAAAAATAATACAGGAATAACAATAGAGAAATAATAAACCAATCACTTACAGGTTCTTGTTCTTCACTTTTGCTGGGACTTTCAAAGCCCTCTTCGAAAAGGTCATCTGCGGTCGGATCACTGGCATGGGATGCGGAGGATTTGGACGGAGAGCTCTGCCTAGGGGCAGGGGTTGGAGCTACATGGAAACCATACAAACAGAGGAGACATCTTAAGTGCGGGGCTCAACCCTCTGTACCCCACAGAAACCTCAGAGATCTGCTTATACAGTGGTACCTCACTTCACAAACTTGATTTGTCTACCATTCTGGCTGTAAACCACATTAGCTGAGAACTCAATCAAGTTCAAAGTTAGGGTCAAAGTTGGCCTTATGGGGAAACCTGGTTCAGTTCCCTTTCGGTTTGGTTTTCAACCAGCAGTGTGGAGAACCTTGAGTTCATGTACTGAGGCACCACTCTATATGCATCAAATCATGGGACTAGGGTGGAGGATACAGCTAAGCAGCACAGCACCTGCCTGGCAAGCATGAGGTCATGAGTTCAACTCCCAACACTCCCCGACCCACTCAAAAGAAAAATCACAGAACTCGCTTTTCCATCCCAAGTGAATCAACTAAACATGTGGATCCTCCTTCCTTACTTCCGTTTATCTTATCTTCCCACAACCTGATCAAACAAGGAGCTCATTCACTTGATGGTCAGGGCAGCAGCTCAGCAGGGATGGGCATCACTGGGGAACTTGTCAGGAGCCCAATCCTTGGGCTCACCCTAGCTCTGCTGGATCAGAAACTCTGGGCTGTCACCAATCCCTCTCTGTGGGTGATTCCTGTGGCACACACAATTTGAGAATCACTAGGCCATGGTTTGCTTTCTCTCTTGCTTCCATCAGAGAATGCATCTGAGTCCCTTTAGTGTGAGAAATACTGTTCATAATTCTTTCCTTTCTCTTTTTTTCCTGGTACTGGGAATTGAACTCAGGGTCTTGCGCTTGCTAGTCAGGCACTTGTGCCACTGAGCTATATCCCCAGCTGCCAACACTATTCAAAGTCCTGCACACAGTACCCCAATTCCCATAAAGCCTGTTGGGCTGTCCTAGTTTCACAGATAAGAAAGGCGAAGGTTGCTAATCAGTCTCTGGCAACTGTCAGGACAAGCCCCGCAACCTTGGCATATAGTAAACAATCCACCAATCGGTGCTGCACAAAGAGAACTTGGGGACCCCACAGTGATAGGGAATGAGGACGGGCGTGGCTGACAGCAGCATCACTGCCTGTGCTGTATAAGACTGCACTTGCTGCGCTGACTCCTGCATTTCCCTCCGATCCTTTGGTCCACGGGTGTATAACCAATATTCCACTGGAAACTACTCTTCTAATAATTTCTCACTTGGCACAGAAAACACCAGTCACTGGCTCAGTGTCAAGGGAGGAGGCCGTGTGGCTTCATTTAGTAGCAGAATATCAAGGCCAGTGAGAAGGCCTCTCTGTTGTAATGTTTCAGAGCTTAGAAAAACTGGCAGCTTATCAGACAGTAAATGATTGTAAAGCTCAGTGTGTATCTTTTTGCCCTGATGAACTTATATTTTAAATAATGATGCTATTTGAAAACCTTGTTATTCCTAATGCACTAATGAGCCAGTCACAAAGATGGCAGCTCCTGTGCATTAATCTCCCCAGCACCAACAACTTCCAGGTGTGGTCCCCGCCCCCAGGTGCGAGCAGCTACAGCTCAGGCAGGTGTGGGTCCTGGATCAGGATTAATCCAGCTATGAGACAGCCGCCCCAGAGTATAACATGGAACCCTGCACCACTACTCAGCCCAGCTGTGCTGCTCTGATTCTATTGGGACTTTTTGGTACTGGGGATTGAACTCAGGTCCTTGTACTCCCTTCACTTTTTTTTTTTAAAGTGTATTTAGTACAGGGTTTACAGGGTCTCACTATACAGATCAGATTCATAGTGATCCTCCTGTTTTCAGCCTCCCAAGTGCTGGGATTACAGGCACAAACCACCATCTTCAGTCTCTGGGGTTTCACTTTTTTTTTTTTTTTTTTTTGGTCACACCAGGGATGGAACTCAGGATCCTGTGCTTGCCAGGTAGGTGTTTATTCTACTGAGCTATCTCCCCAGTCCTGGGGTTTCACTTTTGATCCAATACATTATTCACTGAAAACATTCTAAAGGGGTTTCTCATAGATAAGAGAATATAAAGACTGGTTTCATTCATTTTTTTTCTTTAAACACAAAACATGAAGTTATTTTTATTTGAAAGGAAGTCTATTGGGTTTCATGAGAGAATTTTGGAACAAACAAGTTATAACAGGTTTAAAGCTATATAAAAACACCCTGATGGGTAGTAGATGTTTAATAAATATGAGCTTAATTGGATGCTGAATTGTGGTTGAAGTGGTTTATTGCTTACTAAAGGCTGAGAACTCAGGGTGTACTGCCCATTCTGACAGGTATATTGCTCATACTTTACCCAATGAAATCAATGGAAAATAGAATCCAGAATTTATTTATGCAAATGTTAATCATTTGAAGGTTTTAGAGAATACCTGTGTGCTGTATAACAGTGGTTCTCACTCTGGGGTGATTTCACTTCCAGAGGACATTTGGCAGTGTGTGAGTCATTTTTCACTATCATAACTCAAGGGACAGGAGGAAGGTCCCTTGCGTCTTGTGAGGCAAGGCTAGGACTGCTGCAAGACAGCCTAGGCCCACCTTCCACAGACACCCACGGTACCAAAGCTGCAAACCCTGCGGCAAAACTCGGCCGTAGCTGAATGGCCTGCTCGGGTCATTTCATTCTCGACAACCTTTCCCATTTTGCTATCAGTATGCAATGTGTGGCAGGATAAAGACACGGCCCTTGTCCTCAAGAATTTAAGCTTCCTTTCGCCACTTGGAGCTGGCACACAAGGCCATTGACAGAGAGACATTCATTTTTAAAAGACGCTACCATATTTGTGCATGGCTGCTATTTCTCTAGCATTTTGTACTTTATTCATTATTCCTCACTCAAACTCTACGAGTTAAAGTTAATAGAAGTGCCCCCCACCACGTGGAAGCCAGAGCTTGAGTGCAGGAGGCTCGTTTATGCACGCTGAAGGCTTTCACTTTCAGAACGGTACTCTGTACCTGGCTGAAATGACGCAAGCTAATTGTATGAACATTAAACTTTCTTGACAATTCACAGTGCTGGCCATGCAGTGATCCATGTCACCAGCGACAGTAATGAAAATGCCAAACTCACTGTACCATGAGCACTTGCTGTTCCTTTGTCAATTGTCAAGGCACAAGCTGGGCCAGCAGAACAAGTGTGTCACACAATCGTACGAAGGTTCACTGGACCTCGACTTGGACTTGGCTGTGTCATTTCTGTTTCCTTGATATACAGAACACACCTAGGACATTATCACTTAATGTGGAAAGTAGGAGACACGCTGTCACCAAGCCAGTTTCCTGTACTTCTGAAAAGTCACGTGCTTGCCGTTGGCCATGGCCAGTTGTAGAGGGTCTGCGACAGGAGCCTTGGTCTAGCCCTGCATGGAAACCACTTCACACAGTTGTAAGCTGGGATATACATGAATGAAGGAGCAACCTAACATAATCCTATGAGGTTGGCAATGGTGAATTGTATTCAGCTGTATCACTTCATCTATTATGTTTGTCTTTGAACCTCACCAGGACTATCGATTACTCTGTCAAACGGGTTTAACAAAACTGCATCAGCATCAATGAAGGAATGGCACCTCTGAGCCTATGGAGAGGTACGTACACTGTGCCTGGGCACCTGGGTTGACAGCCAGCTGCCTTGACTCTTGGGAGCCAGAAACAAGTGAGATGAGTTCTCTGACCCTGACTCTCAGTCACCAGAACCCTGCCACTGTTCTAAGGGTGGTATGGCAAAAGCAAAGGGCACTCACGTGAGTTGGTCGATGGTGTGGTAGAAGTCACAGGGGTCAAATTCAACTGGGAGATGTCAAAATCATCACAGTCGTCCGTATCCTGTGCCACCCCGACTTTGTTGAAGTACGTGGAGAAGGCCTCTGAGGTACAGGTGAGGGAGGGCTGGTCGGGTTTGCGGGAGGGCACGGGTGGAGGCTGGGCCATCTGGAAATCTTTAAACATTTCTTTCCCCATTTTCTGCCTGGACGTGTCGGTCTGTGGACTTGCCCTGGCAGAGTCACTCGTGCCTGGGACGGTGGCAAGGGCAGTGAGGGGACCTTGGAACATGGCAGCTGGCAAAGGCATAACAGTTTGTGTGGGCATGAAGGCGGCTGGAGGAAATTGCCCGGCCACAGTCTGCCAGGGTTGCTGGGTGGCAGGAAAGAGCCCCGGCTGGCCCCATGCGATGGGCTGAGGCCCCGGCATCACCTGAGCGACTGGCGGTTGGGCACCCATGGCGAGCTGCTGCTGCACGAGGGGCTGCTGGCCCCAGAAGGACGGGAGGACGGCGCCCATGGCAACATAACCTGCAAGGACAGAGGGAGGTTGGGTACCCACACGGAAAGTTCACAAGCTCCGGTGATGGACAGGCTGTGTCCTTCACCTCTGAGTGCCAGCCTGGAGGCTGCAGGAGGGCACCGGAGCCTTCTCTCCAGAGGTGGCTGGGCGGACTTCTCTAGAGACAACTGCTAAGTGGAAACTAGAATTCAGGGAGGGACCACGCCCTGCGGCTGCCCAGGCTACAACAGAAGCATTTCTATAGCCATTAGAGCATCTCCACAAGGTGCTCCTTAACTTCGTCATGACATCATCTGTAAAAGCGGCCTAAGAGGCCTTCTGTCTCGCTGTGCTGGTCTGAGGGCGAGCTGACGCTTTCCGTGTGTGGAGCGCTGCACCTCACACCAGCATGTTGTCCATCAAGGCTGCTGGTAGGATCTAGTAGGACAGAACCCCTCACGTACGCAGCGCCTTGCTTACTGTGCAACAGCCACACACTGAGGGGCAGGTACGGACGTTATGGCTCATTATTTCTGCATTTTTATTATTTTAGAGAATTAAAACCATGAAGATTATTTCTATTCAAGAGCACTTTATACAGGGGCACAGGCTGGGCACTGCAGAATTCTAATGCCCGGACCCAGAAATAGCATCATGATAATTGTCTGGTGCATTATAGTTTTTTTTTTTTTTATTTTATGTTTTTAGTACAGGGTCTCAGTACACAGATTGACTGGTAGTGATCCTTCTGTTTGCAGCCTCCCACGTGCTGGTATCACAGGTGTGTGCCACCACGCCCAGTCGCAATCGCCATCTCAGCATGCCTTGGGGGTGGGGCCCTCAGGGCAGGCCAGGGATCAAACACCCGGCCCCTGCGTCAGCCTAAGCAGGTGCTTTAATCTGCTGAGCTATCTGGCCAGCCCCAATTATAGTTTTTAACAAGCGCTCTCAAGCGACACTTGTAATACTGTAGTATCAGTGGCAACAGCAATAGTTTCAGCTTAATGAATGCCCACAGCACTGTCTGCCGTCTTCACAAAGGCCCTGCATAGTGAGTGTCTTTGCATCTGAGGGGGAGAAACGGGCTCAGAGAGGAACAGCAGTTCCTCAGTCACGCAGCTTGCGTGCGGAGGGTCAGGGTCTGAAACTGAGATGGCCTGTCCTCAAGCCTACCAGTTTCACCCAGATGGCTGACTAATTTCTGTTCTTTCACAGTCAGTGGCTCATCGAGGATCATTTCAGCATACTACAGGTCCACAGGGAACTCCCATTGCTTCTGGGGGTGCCCACGCGTCTCAGGGGGCACAAGGGCTGGCTGCCTAGGCAGCAGAGCCGGGAAGACAAGTGGCCATCCAGGCAGAGCTGAAGGTACAAGGTCAGCTGCGCCTGGCCTCTCAGCACAAGGATTTTCATGGCAGCCAGAAGGAAACAGGATGCAGTGAGAACAAGACAGAAGGGGCGTGGGGACAGGATACTGTAGCAACCACCACAGGGATGCCAGATGGATGATGCGGTGCTGGCCACACCCTGGATTGCATCAGAGACTCTGGCAAGCCCCGGGAACTTGTGCAGAGGGGGCCTCACACCACAGTCCAGCCTCAGAGCCACCATCCACTCGCCTGACTGGCACAGGGTCAAGTTAGCATTCCGAGCCTGGGCACTTCCTGGCAAGGGTCCAGTGCACCCCAAATGACATGCCACCCCCCAGAAGAGGGTCCACAGGGCACAAACAGGACACCTGGGCTTCTTGCAGGCTAATGTAGCCATGTTAAATGCTTTTGTGGAATAAGGAAGAAAGATCAACAAGTGAAATACAAAATATCCTTGTGAAGTCTTTCAGGCCAACTGCGCTGAAGCAAGAGGGGTGGCGAGGCAAAGTGGAGATGAAATTTCAAAGCTGAAACTTGCTTATGCTGCCCATGTCCTGCACAGTCATGCAGTGACCGAAACCCATCAGCAGATGATGTGTTCCACCCCTTTCTTACTTTCTGATTCAGTTGGGGGTGGTGTAGTCATTCACAGTGGGACTGGGACTGCTCCTAGGGTTAATTGGAAACTTTGCGGAGTGCATTTTGGTTGTCCTGGTAACTGCAGTGTGGTGGGCATTCCTGGCATTTTAAGGTGTCCCCAGCACAGAACAAAGCATTATCCTACATTCTGGCCATGATCCCTTGAGTCTAGAACTTGAATTACATGGATGTAACATGTAACAGGTGAGAGATTATTGTTTCGCTTGAAACACTCTAGAGTTTTTCACCAAAATGGTGGTAGCTGACAGAAACACTTCTCCTGGGGCTGGACCTTCACACTTCTTCGTCAGAGGTATAAGAGCAGTGGCAGCTTTCAGGGGTGATTCTGATACAGGCATGAGCATCTGATGACCGTGTCTTATTCTCACTCATGCCTGAATATTTTCTTACGGAAACACATCATTATCTACGAATTTCATTGCGAGCCACTAATGGTGTACAAGCATCTCCTAGCTGGAGACTTCCCCAGGGGTCTTTCAATGGTCCCAGTGCTATTTGGGTGAGCAGGCAGGCACCTCAGTCCCACCCAGCCTATTTTAGTTTTGTTTCCATCTTTCATTATCACCATGGACTGTTCTAAAACAAATGCAAATGCTCCTTGCCCTCTGATGGGGTCATCCCCCAACGAGCCTGCTGTAAATTGCAAGTATTGTTAAGCTGAGGATTCATTTAATCTAACAAACATCCTAGCTCAGCACACGGTACGCCGCAGCTTCTCTGCTGTCACCAGCCCTGCTTCCCTGGCTCAGTGGCAGCTGAATCCCCCTGTGATTGCCTGGTATCGGGAGAGAGACGCCACACAGCATATTGTTGGTTTGGGACACGATCAAAATGCAAAGCGCAGTTTTTAGTGATTATGTGTTGCTTTCTCAACACCGTAAACTTGAAAAATCTGAAGTGGCACCACTGAGAGGCGGGTCGAGGAGAGCCTGCGTGGCACTGTACCTTCTGGTACACAAGGCTCACACGCTTGGGGGTGGCTGTTGAGCTGAGCTCGTGGAAGTCGGCCCCTCCGATGCTCCATCAAACTTCCAGGCCGGTTTCTGTCTAGTCCCATCCACCTGCAGCTGAGGACACCACTCACCCACTGTCTCCATGTCCCCTACTGGGCTGTCGATGACCCCTGCTGTGAGTGACTGCCAGTGACCTTACACCCCTGAGCTGCTGTGAGGGGCTCAGCTGGCCACTGCCTCTGCCCTCAGCACACAGTTGGTCCTCTGGGCTCCGAGTCCTATGTGCCTTCGTCTATGGCAACACTCACCCCATGGTACACAGCGGCCTACGGCTTCTGGCTTCCCTCACAGACAAGGACGGGCACCGGCAGCAGCCCTCATCCTCTCTGCCATTCTGTCCACAGCCATTAGCAGGCATCGGCAGCTCCAGGGATGCTTGGGTCTGGAGGAAGGGCCTACCTGGGCCTTCACTGCCTTTTCCCAAGAGTGCAGCAGAGCTCTGACACCTGCACATGCTGGGTCTCTCATGCTTCCGCTGCTGGTGCCAGGTTTGTTTTTTTCCCTTCTATTCCTTCTTGCTTTTTTTTTTTTTTTAACAAGAAAATAACAGCTGGTCTGCGCACATTTTTCTGGAGAGAGCTATTAGCGTGTCTCTCTGGCTTCATGCCATCTGTTCAGACCATAGTACAGTATTAAGAATAGGAAGAGGTGGCACAGGGCAATGGGTGCCATGTCCGGGGCTCATACTTTTCCTGCTGGGGAGTCCCCGCAGCCCGTGGGCTCCCCGCAGCCTGTGGTGTCCCCAGGCCACATGCAGTTACACATGCCAAATGGGCCATCTCAGCAGCAGGACTGGGGCAGCCCTGCACTCTGGGAGCCACTTGCTGGCTGCCACCGCTGCCACTTAACAACTTGTTAACCACTCACTTGTTAATGTGCAGCGGCGAGGGAGGAGGTGCCAAGGAGCATCTGCTTATGGTGCCGAGTTCAGATCAATCATAAACTCCTCGCTGTGAGCTGAAGGGGAACACCTGCACGGCTGCCTCGCAGCCAGGTCTATAAAGTGTGGAGAATTGCAATTTACGACCAGATGCTGGTGGCTGGGGCACCCACAGGATTGGTAAAAAGAAGGAAAAGGGCCAACTAAAAAATAACACACAACATTAAAGGACTCCAACAGTCATACGGAACTTGCATGGTATCTCTTATCTTTCATTCACCTAACCAATTCATGAATTTAAATATACTCCCAACAGCATTAGGCTCTGCAGACTTGGTGCGGCACACAGTAGACCTGAACTCCTTGCCTCAGTTAAGTGATTTGGTGGGGGAGCCAGTTCTTGAGGTCCACCTCGCAGCACCAGTCTATGCTGTGTGCTCTTGCTTTAGCTCTGCGTGGGGAGCCCTTGCCCCCACGCAGGGCAGGGAGCCGGGTCCTGGGAGCAGCACACATCTGAGGCCCGCCCTCTGCATGCGTGCTACTCGGCAACCTTCTATCTGCTCTGCTTTCAGTGTTTGCTTGTGCAATTCTCAGCACAGCTATGGAGGCAAAGTTCGGGTGACCCTATGTTTTCTGGAAAGTTCCGGGAAGCCTGGCAGGAGACAGGGAATTATGCAGCTGGCTAGGGGCCTTGCCTGTGTCCGTATAAGAGAACTCCCCACACCACCCAGCTGACCTCTGCTGTGGGAGGGCCGAAAGACTGAAAAACCTCAAAAATTTATTGCATGTGTTACAATTCCAAGAAGGTAAAGGAAGCTTTTCCTCTACTTCAGAAGTCAGAGTGACAACAACACCAACGGCAGCAGCACAGTGTGGTGCATCTCTAGTATCTGTGATGTACCAGCAGTTTTCATAGCGCTGAAATTTGTTTTCTCATTTAATTCTCAGGATATTATTGCGATGTATTTTTTAAAACTCTGTTATAAGCTGAAACAATTGTGGCTCTGATGGCTTCAATAATTTGCCTAGGAGTCTAAGGCTTATGTAAAAAATGGCAGCACCCGGCCAAGCGCCTGTAATCCCAGCTACTTGAAAGGCTGAGGCAGACAGCTTGAGGAGTTTAAGAGTAGCCTGGCAACACTGTGAGATGCCAGTTCCCCTAAGCCCCCCACCAAAAGGCTGAACAGGATTCAGAACCAGCCCATAAGACCCAAAAAGTACCCAGCATGCATCTCACCCACTGTGTGACACAGCTGTGTTCACTGCCCCCTCACTGCCCCCGGCTGGACAATTAGTGACAGGGAGATGCAGAAATAATAGTGACAGAGATTTTTAATACCAATTAAGGGAGGAAAGGAAGCAGCTGGATAATTTCATACCAACTGAAGCATATCGTAAGTATTTCTTAAATATAGTATGAAAGCAAAAATATGCTAATTGAAATTAATTTTAGACTCCTGTTCTCAAAATTGAGGTGGAAGAGGTAATCCATTTTTTTTAACAACTAAAAGAAGTAGCTTGATCACAGTTTGCCATTCAGGGGGGCAGGTGGCAAAAATAAAGCCCAGGTTTTCACGCCACTGAGGTGATCTTGGGTGGACAGAGGCGGACCTGAGGCAAGTCCTCAGCACGCTTCAAATCAGTGTCAGTGCTGGGCGAGACACAGAGCTGCACGTAGCACCGTCTCCACCCCGCCTGTCGCACAGCTCCCGCCCAGTCCACTACCACCCCCGCCCCACCACACGCCCTTGGCTGCTGGGACACCATCCTTCCACCCCTGCTCTGTTTCCCTTTGTCCACCGCACTCACTGCTGCTAACCTTCTAGAAGTTTCTCACTGCGATGTTATTTCCTGTATCTCTGACAGGAGGTGAGGTCTCCATTGTGCTCACCAACATGAGCCAAGCATGACATAGAGCGGGCGCTCAGAGAATACAGGAGGACGAACGCACCTCAAGCAGAGTAACTTGGAGCCCTAGACTTCCCACCGTCTGCCCCCAAACAGAATGACAGAGAGAAAGCTTGGGGATTCCAAACACCAAGCTTTCGCATAGCAAAATGGTCCATTTCTGATGGAAAATGTTGCTCATATATAAAGTGCTATACTATATTCTGCTGCACTGATCCCAAGGAAAGTCCATTTGTGGGTAGGAAAAAGAAGCATTCCTGGCAGGCCAGTTCAGAGAGGAGCAAATCGAGATTCTGTCGGGAAACTTAGCAATTAAGAAATTTCCAGGTTACCTGCAGGCTCTAAACTGTAAGTCATATCAAGCCACTGCCAACCTCTGCTGCTTCTAAAAGTTCATAAAGATCCCTTGGCTCTTGAAGAATAACTGTTTCAGAACAGCGTATGAATTTTTAATTTACTTCTAATAAAAGCAAGGTTTATATTTGGTGACAAGAATTAGCTTCTAATACTATGTAATTAAAAGTAATTATTTATAGAAAAAAGTGCAAGAAGATTTGCATTCTAAAATATTTAAACTCTTATCTGCCATTTACAAGAATAAAGTCAAGAAAGAAAAAGCCATGGTTCTGAAATATGTAGTTAAAGGAAAATACAGACTCCTCCAGGATCCCACAGATGTGCAGAACAGAGCGAAACCCTTCTGTTACTCCCAGGTAGAGTGGCCTGGCCACCACGCTGCCTGGCACCATGGGCATCAGGCGCAATCCTGGGGATCCCACCCACGCATAACTCACCAGCATCGCTGTCCTATAGATAACTATAGCCCGCTGTGAAAGTAGGATCTACATTTTAAAAATATTTGGAAAACCAAAGAAACGCTTTCCACATCACTGAATCCCGTCCTCTTCCAAGCTCTGTTAGCAGGTGGCTCTTGTGCTGCTGAGTCCCCTGCTGCCCTGGACAGGAACCAACCCCCAAGTCAGAGCTGAACCCTGAAGATCTCTTCTACCCCTCGGGCCTCAAGACGTGTGAAGGGGGCGGGGTCATGCCCTCTCCTGCTCATTGCTTCTCTCCTGGATGAGGTTCACAGGGAGACATGGACCTGCGCTAGTTTGTATGACCTTATGGGTACCACACTCCCAATGCTGCACACCTGAGTCCCCGAGCATCTCGAGCTTCCCAAGTGAAAGATAGGGCTGGATTTCAGTCAGTCCGTCCGCTTCTCAGTGCCTCACCTCTAAGGCCCCATCCACATGGCAGCTGCTCAGTGTCACTGAAGAGTTGCACCTGAGAATGCTGCTTCCACAGGTGTCTGGGCATGGGTTTTCAGCTGTGTCCGTCACCGGTTTCTCTTGCATGTGACACGTGGAGGCCAAGGGAGGGAAGGCTGGTGGAAGAGGGCTTACCTGAGGGTACAGCAGCAGTGCCAAAAGGTACAGAACCAAACACGTCTGCGCTTGCCGGAAGCGTTTGGGAGGAAGGTGGGATAAAGGCATCACCTGGAGTTGCGGGAGTCTGCAGACAGAGAGGCAGAGGATGCATAAGACCGAGCTCTGGAGTCACCAGGATGGGGGAGCAGGGGCAGGCAGAGGGCAGCGCAGAAGCCAGCCACACTCTAGGCCTCGTGTGTGGTGTCCAGGCCATGGCTTGTAACAGAGACTTTATCAGCGGAGTGTGAAAAATAACGCCTTTATAGCCACTATAAAGATTAAGTGAGATCATTAATTATTATTATTTCATATTATTTAGCATCGTGTAAATTCCTATAGTGGATCCTTAGCCAAAGGTGACCGGTGTCATCATAAGGCCACTTGAGTCCCTTGGGGTGTTCAATGGTCACTAAGTTTCTCTAGAGTATTTGTCTTTCACCCTTTAGAGGTTATCAATTTAAATTTGAGCTGAGATGCCCCTACTGCAGCCCTATGATAAGCCCAGCTCAGGGCTTGTCCCTTAGCATGTGGTGAGTAGTTGTTGAACACTGGTGAATGCACAACCAATAAAGTGCAGTGCCGGAAGCCTGGGCCCTTGCACCCGGTGCTTCCCAGAAGTCCTTGCACCTGGTGCTTCCCAGAAGCCCTTGCGCCCGGTGCTTCCCAGATGCTTGCCTGAATCTTCACTTGCAAAATCAAGTAAATATTTTTAAAAAGGCATTTAGATGACCACACCCGCAGGCTGCCTGCCAGGTCCTGCTGAATTTCCATAAACTCCACACCTGAGCTGGGCACAGGTAAGGGACAGACAGAAAATATCAAGACTCATACTTGGTAATGTCTACACCCATAGACAGTGGGCTTTCCCTGCAAAGTATAGGCCTACTGGATGGTTTTAAAATTTTCCCTTGGAACACATCAGGGCAAGCAATTAATCCTGAAGTCATGGCAATTGGACAAGGCCATTTTTAGACCAGAAGCTTGTGGGACAAACAGCATTGTCCCAAGGATTAAGTACTAGAAACACCACCATGGGCCGCTGTGTTAAGTCCTCTTCTCTCCCCTACAGGACCTCACGGAGTCACGTGCCTCAGCCTTCCCTTCTCAAGTCACTTGACTCAGGCCTCAGGGCGCTAATCTGCACAGTGTCTGGAGAAGGCTGCAAAGGCTCTTCAGCCCCTTCCATCTCCAGAGTCCCACAGGTCTGAGATGATGCTCAGTTCCTGAGATGGAGAAGATGGGAATGGTGAGGGCTCTCCAGCTTCCCTAAGGACAGAATCTGCAGCCCTCTCCTCCACTGATGCTCCGGGTATGAGGTGCTGGCAGCAGGACAGGTATACCGGGTTTCCCTGGTGGCAGCTGTGGGCAGCAGGGTCTTGCACCATCTGTCCTCAGACATGAGGATATAGCTCTTTCTCAAAGAGGTGTGTCTCACCAGTGAACCCTAGCACTACCCTAGGGTTTGCACAACTGCAGTGCCCGGATGAGCTGCCCTCCAGGCAGCTTTCCCTCATACAGCTGGGCTGACAGCTCTCCAGCCACCTCCAGGGAGGGATAGGAGACAGAGTGCTTTTGAATGTATCGAGTACTGGGATTCAATTTTGCTTAGGTTTTCTTTTCTTTTTTTTTCTTTTTTTCTTTTTTTTTACACTTTCAAATTAGGGCTTCCTGCAGTCTCCGTCCTCATGCATGCTTTGGCTGAGATACCCCTGGCTAGGGATCCAAAGCTTCATGAAGAGTGCAGGGAATCTCTAGTCATGTAGGCAGGGCTAACAGTCAGGCTGTGTAGGGGGGGAGAAACAGGATGGAGAGAGGCAGGAGAGGAGAGAGGTCAGGGGAGACGGGGCAGGGGCAGAGGTGAGCGTTGCCGGGCTGAGGCCTGCGCTGCGCAGCACCTAGGAGAGTGCTGACAGATGCCTCTTCATGCAGCTTTGCCTGTATCTCAACTAGACCCTATGTTCCCTGTAGGCGGGAAATGAATCTCACGCCTGCCTGTTTCCTCGGAGCCTAGATGAAGTGCATCCGGGTGATGTCCTGCCATCGATGAGGCATGGTCTCACTTACTTCTCAAAAAAGAAGCTGGATCATAATTCCTGTCTTTTTCAGGGGGGCTGGTGATCGACCACAGGCTCTTTGCATTAAGTTAGAGCCTCAGCTCTGCTCTGACCATGCTGCTGTGTTGTTCACGCTGGACTTGTGATCCCCCTGCCCAGCTCCTCATTTTTTGGGGTGAGGGGGCAGCTCAGCCCACCCTGGGGCGGAGCTGGCATGGCATGTGGTGCCGGGATCCAACCTTGGTCCCTGTGTTTGCCTAAGCTTGCCTAAGCTGGTACTTTAGACTGCTGAGCTATCTCTCTGGCCCTCAGCGCCCCATTTTAACCCTTAGGAGACCACCAGCAATGGGAGAGACACGGGCAGACCTTTTCTGAAATATTGTGACATGTATCGGGTGCACAGCACCAAAGTCCTGAGCTGCAGGCTTGTATGTGACCCGTGCTCCGCCATAATGCTTGCGTTATCCCTATGCAACCATAGTAACAGCACGTGTTCTGTAAGAGTGTGTGATATTTGATGGTGTGTTACCTGAGAGAGACACCATGAACTTTGGTAAATACTGCTGAGTTATTTTCTTTCCTAATTTCTATATCATAACTGAAAAGAACTAAAAATCATGAATTTATTCTATAAATCACTATATAAACGAATGCAGATTTGCAGTGTTTTAGTTATTGTCCTGCATTTCGCCATGACTAGTAGTGACACACATGACCTCCACTGTGACTCGCTGGACTGCAACCTGCTGGGGGCTGGCAGCAGAGGAAATGGAGGCTCAGGGCTGCTCATGCGCTGCCCAGGTCACGAGCTGGAAGGGTCACGAGATTCTTGCTCCGCGCATACTCACCGGGGGAGAGGTTATATCAGGAGGGGTGGACATGTCCCCAAAAAGTTCTAGTTGGGTCACAGCCTGAAAAGACAAAAAAAAAAAAAAAAAAAAAAAAAAAAAAAAAAGCCATGTAACCAAGAAAGAAAGGGCCACCAGGTACAGCTTTGAAACCACACTAGTAGAGCAGGCTTGCTCTCTTTCACGGTGACTGCAGCCTCGTCAGTCATCACTACACCGCTCCATCCATCCCAGAGGCAGCGGCTCGGTGTGGCCAGACCCAACTCCTGCTTTGGTGAGTCTGGGTGTGTATCTAGGACTGGCCGCCACCACACTAGCCCCCTCTCAGAAGCCCTGGCAACGCCGCTTCCCCAGCTGTCCGTCAGCTGTTAGCACTGTGTCTCCTCTCAGGGGGATAGAGGCAGGAAGACAATTCAGCGTTGCTTCTGTTTCCTAAACGTGTCCACACGAATAAGATGCCTTCCCGTGGAAGGACGGCGCGGGATGATGTCATGCCGCGTCTCAGTGAGTGCTCGCAGTATTACAAACTCTCGGAGGCAGAATTCATCACCATCATTTTTTTTTTTTTCCAGAGGAATAAAATTATTTCCACTGAGGTGACATCACGGTCACCCAGGCCAGGATTTGAATTTTCTGTATGTACAGCATGCAGTCAAATACACAGTCCTAAAATAGTCCATCTTTGGGATAAAAAATGTAGTTGAAGGAAGAGAAAACATTTCATTTAATTCTGGGAAAGGCATCCAAAGCAGCCCAGCGCGCACGCGATCGATCACTCCTGGAACTCCATCCCTGCAGACGCTGCTTTATCCATCTTCCCATCCATCACAGGGAGGCCTGGGCAGGGCTGGCTCAGCAGCCCAGAGCCTCCCTCACATAGACTTAGAATTAATCTGCATGCACTTCCAGCTTCAGAGACCATGGAGTGGCTCTGGCCAGAACCCAGTGGCCTGACTTAATTAAGAAAGTATACAGTGGTATGCTCTAGGCAGACAGTTCCACTGAGGGAAATCCACTCTTCCCTCAGCTTCTGTCTGTGAGTGTTTCTACTGCAGATACAGGAAACTGACCCTTTAGAGAAGGCGCCGGGAAGGTGTGACAGCCCTGTCCTGCCTGCAGGTCCCCTGCACGCAGATTCTGCTCTGGCCAGTTTGAGGCTTTCTTTCTTTTGTTCTTTCTTTTCTTTTTCTATTTTGTAGGGAAGGGTCTATATGGTACTCAGGGTCTCACTACTAGATTGGACTTTTAGTGATCCACCTGTTTACAGCCTCCCAAGAGCTGGCAGGGCACCACAGGCCTGAGAATTGAGTCCCTAGCCCCTGTGCCTGCTTGCAGATGCTTTAATCCACTGAGCTATTTGGTCGGCCCTCAGCTTGAGGCTTTCTCTCTAGGATTCACACAAAGAGCAGGATGCTCTCTCCTTCCTACTGCTCTTTCCTATCTGTATAGCTGAGCACCAGGGCTCCCACCCAGATGACGGGGATGAGGACATTCGCTTTGTGTATTTACAGATGACTTACGAGGTTGAGTATCCCTGACTGAGTACCTAAAATCCAAAAGGCTTGGCAATCCAAACACTTTTAAATTCCAGTAAGATGCCACAAGTGGGTATTTCTACACCTTATCTCACGTGAAGGCGCATAGTCAAAACACAGCTGCACTAAAGACATATAAAATCATCTTCAGGCTATGAGTCAGAAATGTACATTAAACATAAATGAATTCTGTGTTTAAATTTGGGCTCCAACCCCAAAATACCTCATTATGTGTATTTGCCAATATTTGGCAATATTTACAAACTTGGAAAAATAGCCAAGATTCGAAACACTTATGGCCCCAGACACAGCAGATAAGGGACGGACAGCATCTAGCTTGCTTTGAAGTTTGGCTAAGCCTTATTATAGAGGCCTGAAAGGCTATTTTTCCTGAAAGCAAAGAAGCTTAGCCTGGTAGGACTCACTTTCCATTCTGCTCTCTCAGCTTCCATTCCGCTAATGGTGCTGAGCACACAGGTGGGGGCCCGGAAGGACCAGCTTCCTCCCCAGCAATATTTTCCCATAAACCCTGAGCAGCAGTCAGGTGCAGAACACCATGATGGTTGCTGGGAACACAATAAGTAGAGATGCCAAGTGTCAGTTGGCATGCAGGTCACCATCTCCTGGGGTCCGGAATCCACAGATGCAAACAGGAGGTGGCGTGAGCCAGGAACACCATGGGGAGGTGGGGTGTGACCAACAGGAGAGGTGAGGAGGTGGCTGAGGGGACAGGGCCAGGCTGTGGTGGGATGGGGTGTGATGCCCAGGCCCCGGCTGCCATCTCTGTCCTCACCCACTTCCATGTCTTGCAGTCCTTGACGCGGCAGTGGGTGGGAGTGAGGCAGCAGCGTGCAGGGCACCTCCCCGGCCTGACTGGATCATGACCACCTGGCTTGGTGTCTTCTATCACTGGGCGAAGCGATGCTGGTCCTTTAGCTGCCTCCCAAATTCCTAACAGGACTAACTGCTTTTAATGAATTCAAATGAAGCTTCCAGGTGGCCTTGTGATTGGGACTTGACATTTTTTAAATGGCCTGCAACTATTTTCAGTGTTAGGAAAATATTAAAATGAAGTTAATAATTAAGTCACACAATTTACATTTCCAATGTATTGAACTTGCGGCATACTTTTACTAACATCATAAATGTAATTTATTGGCTAATTTTCTCCTTAAGCACAACTTTTAAAATAACCTTCCTTTTTTGAGCTATCGGCTCGCCTCTTGCCTGATGATTTCCACTCAAGGATTAAATGGCAAAAAACACAGGGAGGCATAAAATACAGATTGTTATTTCATTCTATTGGATTTGCTGTTTAAATAGAACTTTGAGTTAATTAAATTTTATAGAAAAAGGGGGTTCTTGGGCCATAAAATTAGAAATAATCTGAATAACCATGTATGATTGAGAATCTGGAATAGTACCTACTTTCACACCCTCCTCCCCATGTGAACCCCATTCCTTTTATTTGTAACCTAATAAACCATGTTCTATCTGAAAATATTATCCTAATTAATCATTTTTAAGGCCCCAAGAGTATAAAACCAAGAATTCACATTTGTAAAATGCTTTCTAGCTTACAGGATACTTTCATACACACACACACACACACACACACACACACACACACACACACACACTGCTGTCATGTCTGACCCTCACTGCACATGGTGCCGCTGTCACTCTGTGCCTTACAGAAGACCTGAGGGTAATGCGGTAAGGAGTCAGCTGAAGACAAGATGGACCTGGCCCCGAGCAGTTAGCACCTTGTTTCTCTGCTCTTGCACCAAAGCTTAGCTAGCCTTGCTAAGTGGTGCAGCTCAGCTCTCCAGTGTCCTGCCCCAGGAGCCAGGGCAGCTAAGAGGCCTGCAGCAAAGAGCACCCACTGGCTGGTATCTACTTGCCAGAGCACGGCCTTCCCTCCCTGGCATTTCCAGTGTCTTCTGGTGGGAAGCAGTATGGCTATAGATAGCAGATGTGTCCATTCTTTGGGTTGCTGGGTAAGCACAGTGTCCCTAGAAGACATGCAGAGCACAGAGCACAGCAGGCTGAGAAAGCGACAGCCCTGCCAGGGCCTTCAAGGTTCTTCCTCCACCTAGAACTCTCCTTCCATCCCTCTCCCAACCCTCTTGCAGAAAACAGCTAGAAGACCTTCTGTCCTGACAATGTTTCCTCGCTGAATGTGCAGCCTACCCTATTGTCCAAAACAGCTCACCAGACGCTTCTAGGCCAGTGGTTCTCAGCCCTGCCTGGGGAAAAGTACTGACGCTCCGCCCCACCGCCGAGGCCCTCTGAGGAACAGCCCTGGTCCCTGGGACTTCAGAGAGCTTTCCTCATGATTCCAAGCTGCTGCCAAGGCTGACAGTCTCTGTGCTAGTGGCTTCCTGACATTCACTTCTTGGCATTCAAGAGGGACACTGTTCATACCTCCTGGTATTCAGGAGGAAGACTGCTGTTAACTTCTTAATATGCAAGAGACAATCCCCGGCATGCCATGTGGGCCCTGCACTGAGACTGCACCTGAGATGTGGTGGCACACGACTGTAATCCCAGCGCTTGGGAGGCTAAAAACAGGAGGATCACTACAAGTCCATTCTGTGCAGTGAGACTCTATAGATCCTGTACTAAATACATTTTTCAAAAAAGCAACAGAATATTCAAGAGAGACACTGTTCACTGGCCTGTGTGCCAACAAATCTGAGCAAACGTGGGTGCAGACCACGACATCTACATGAAGGTGTGTACTGGGTGACAAGAAGCCATGCCTATTTTTGATTCCCAGTGGCCTACATGCACATGTTTGTGTCTGAATTCCTCCTCCCTATGCTACCCCACACTGCAGGATTCTAGGCGAAGCTAGGCCAGGTGCAGCTTCCCTACCCTACTTGGCCCTCTCCTGCACTGTCCTCCCCTTCCCTCCCTTATGCAGCACTACTACAGATGGATGTATGGTGAGCTTCTCAGGAACTGGGGCTAAGCCTTCCTTACTACTGTCCCTCTAGCATGGGCCACAATGTCTGGAACATGTGGAAGCTACAGAAGGACTTACTGTAGTACTGTAGCACTTAGTGTAGCCCTGTCCTACATGCACGTGAGCACACACACACACGTGCACACACACTCTGATCTCAGTTGGGCTGCGACCACGAGAATGGGCCCCACTGCAGCCCTGGAGAGCACAGCGCTTGCTGCTGAGGTGCTGGCTGGGAGTGACGTGGGGAGCACCAGTAGGACAAAAAGGTCCTCACTCCCCAGGAGCCTCAAGGGCTTACCTTTGCTGCCTCAAGCATCTCATCCAAGTCCATGGGCAGGCTTCTGTTCTGTAACCACAAGGCATGAGCAATGAGCATGGGAGGGACGAGACATGAAAGAGTTAAGCAGACAGAGCCCTCTCGCTCTTACCGGCATGGCCACTGCAAACCGCTCCTCAAAGTCCTCGAATGGCTCGCTGTTCTGAAAGCGTAAGGAATGATGGATGAGGATGGAGTGAATGACACACAAACGACATGGATTGATGAGCTCAATGATGACGGTACCTATGGTTTACACTCCTGCGGTCCTGGTGGGTGGGAGCTGCTGCCAATGGCCTGTGAAAATCCCGGAATATACTTCCAGCCCAAGCAAATGATAAAACATGGGCCTGATTAGGAAATACAGCAACGGGAGACATGGACAGTGAGAATCTGTCTTACTACAATTACTGACGTTCCCCAGCCAGGCTCAACAGCGGCTATGGATAAGAGCAAGAGGCTTACACTTGAGATTGTTCTTTTAAAAGGCAAGAGAAATTGCCCTGCTTTAACTGAACTGGACTCTCGGCAGCAGCTTGTCTCTGTCCTTTGAGCTTGCTGGCTTTGCTGCACAAAGTGTGCTCCTCCCGATCATCTCTCCCCGTGCATGAACACCAGCATCCTGCCACCTGGCCCCAAGCCCCTCTCCCATGGAGCTCTCCTCCATGCCCTGGGCAGAGCTGCCCTTCTGAGAACCCTCTGACACCCAAGTCCTTCCTACTCCACTGGGGGTTCGCCCAAGCCAGGACGGTATCATATTTATTCCTGAATCCCCAGCAGTTCTGGGAGGTCTACTATATATAACAGTGTTCAAAATGTATGAACAAATGCACATCTTCAAAGTCACTGGCAACTGGCCAAATCTAATTGTTCTCTTAACTTTTAATTATATTGTGCATATTACATACTATTGATAATATATACATATATTATATTTAACGTACATGCATATTTTAATGATCATGTTTTCGTCTACATGTACAAGATAATTATTCTTTGGATGATTTCCAAGTGGTATAACATTTATATAAATCAGTGGCTATTGGCATTAAAATGCAGTTTCATGCATGAACAGAAATGATTGCATCAGTTCCTAAGTTTAAGAGGGCTTCAAGTTGGCAGGGGAGGAGTAGGAAAACTACCACCTGTGGTCCCAAAATACTGCTCATATGCCAGAAATCATTTTCACCCATCTGTAGAAAATGTGTCCATGGCTCCCTTCTGTCCCAGGCACAGGACACAGAGCAGAGGAGAGCCAGTGTGCTCAGAACCATAGCCACAGGGCCTTTAGGCAAATCTCCCAGGAATCCAGCCATTGGTCAACTGGTCTACCAGGTTGTGTGTGGGTCACCACCACTCAAACATGGCTATCATGAGATAGAAAGTCACCATCAAATAGCCATATAACAACTATTATTATTATTATTATTATTATTATTATTATTATTATTATTACTATTCTTAGACCAGAGATGGAGCCATGGTGAGACAGTATCAGTCTAAGTGATCCTATAATCTACCATGTGGCCTAAAGGTGAAGGTTCTGTTGCTACACCTTTATAAATTCACACACTCTGAGGGATTTATGGCAGGGCCCCTACCAACTAGCTCTGGGTCATAACTTTTAATAAAAACATTTTTTAGTGTCCAAAATCTCATTACATCTGTCCAATATAAAAAAGCAAATGGCTTCAGAGCATGATGGATGAATTAAATAAATTTGAAAAACAGCCTGTGGTGGAGCCTCATAAAAGCCTCACCATGCCCCACATAATGAAAATGTGGGAGGGTCTGGTGACAGAAGAGGTGGCCTTTGGTGAGGTACAGAGCTGTCGCTGCATGGGGGGAGCTTTATAAAGTTAGACAAAGCTTGTTCTGGCGTTTGAAGAAATGCATCTTTATGGTATCACAGAATTTGGATCAAGGCCTAGCTGTGCCCCCTCCTGAGACAGGTCATTTAGCCTCAGTCTTGGCATTTATTAACTGGGGTTGGGAATGGTGACCTCCTCAGGACTGCCGAAGGATGAACTGAGGGGTGTGGGCCATCTTATTTGCTATTAGGCACACGGTAGAGGCACAATGAATAAAAGCCATTATTTTCTAGGTTTTAATTTTATTTTTGGTTTAACAATGTGAATGTTCATATTTTTTAATATTGGAATGATAGTATTACTTGGTACTTGGAAATAGAAGAAAAATAAAAATCTTGGTGGATGCCTCTTGTTAGGAAGTTCTTCCATCCAAAATCCCAAACCAGACTGTGCTGTATGATGATGAACACTTCCTGACTTCCTGGTCCACATCCTGAACCTCTTGGCCCGTTCTTGTACCCTTAGCCTCCCGCTCACCTTGCTCCTAATCACAACCTGGTCTGACCATATCCTTGCCACATCTATCTTTGGTACCTAGTGCTGAGGATACCTTACTGTCCCGCTCTGGCTGAGGACTGCTTGAGGCTGTGTCCCGTCTGAGGGAACCTTTGGTGTTACCCCATGCACTCTGGCCAGCCAGTGGGGAATGTTTCCAGCAGATCCATCTCTTCCAAACTGAGACTCTTGGGCAGTATCTGAAAGGTGTTCCCTGACTTCCCCACATCTTCAACTCTTGCTTTATCCACACTTACTACCACAGTTTAATTTCCTTTCCTTCAAGTCAGTTTTTCTTTTGGTACATATGTTTTTCCCTACTTCCTACCATAGAATGCATGTAGCTTTTCATTCTGCTTTTAAAAACTCAACACAATGTCAAATACATTCACAACTTCAGCTCCCAGGGAGGAATTTAAAAAGATGGGTTGTTCCCTTGCAGTTGTATCCTGAATTAACATAAAGAAAGGCTCAAATAAGTAGCTTAAGCAAGCTATCAGGACCTACCAGAATGGAAGAGACAAAGAACAGGTTCCTAAACAAATGTGAGAAGCCCTGGAGGGAGTGAAAGCCTCTCGCTTTCTGAACATCAAAGACCTACCAGCAATCAAGAGCTTCCTGCACTATAAAAAGTCAAGGGACTTAAGCATCTGTGGTGTCCACCTTAGGATCCATTCCCCAATATGCAAGGAGCTTTTCCCTTTATTCTTTCTATGCAGTATACACAGTTGTTCCCCACTGCTTGCTGCTTGCTGTTTCCTCTGCTTCAAGCTTTTTTTCCTGAAAACAAGGAGTTAGACCACAGAACCAGAAGAGCTGGTTACCCCACAGTGATGTCACCTGTCTGTACAACCCATTCCCTGGTGCTGAGCCCCACCATCTGGGCTTGAATTCCACGGGTCTGGGGGGTGGGCGCTGGCTTCAGTACTTTTTAAAAGCTCCCCAGAGGATTTTAATGAGCAGCCAGACTTGCGAATCAAGAATGGATTCTCTGTAGAGATAATCAGTGAAAGTCATACTGGGAAAGCTGAAGGCATATTGATTGATTAGGTAATTGATTAATTTCGTCAGCAAACATTCATGGGGGTGCTTTCCACATGATGCACCTGGCTGGACAATGGAGCTACGCACACAATGTGAGCTCTCACAAGCTGAGTGGAGCCATGGTGTGTGATCCTACAGCTCAAGGTAGACAGGAGTGGGTGCAGGAGCACAAGATGATGCTTTTGGAACTCAGAAGGCTGCAGAAGAATGAATTCAATTATCCCTTTAGAAGGCTCGAGAGAAATGGATTAACTTGAGTGATTTGTAGCGGCACTACAGTGGGAACGATGAAGGGCATCTTGGGACTGCAGACCTCTGAATGCGAGTTACCTTTCCCCAGTGAATGATTTAGCAGGAAAGGCACATGCTAATGAAGACTAATTCCTTCTGGAGTATCTAGCAGTTTCTGTTCCCTGTCACCTCTAGCCAAGAGTAAACAAGCTACTTTTCAAGTTCTAGGTAGAGAGAGAGATGGGAAATACTTTTAAGATTTGGCATAGAAACTACAGTGATTCCCCTGTGGAGCAGTGCTGTTCCAGAGACCCTTATGTGATGGGCACTATGTCTATCCTGTCTAAGATGTTAGGGACCACAGGTGGCGGCTATAGGCTTCAGACAGGGCTTGCGGGCCCAAAGAACTGAATTTTAAACTTTATTTACACTAATTTCCAGCAAAGTAGCTACATGTGGCTATTATATTAGACAGGATAACTCCAGATAAAACAAATTAAAAAGTAAAAAAACAAACAAATTTCAAGCAAGTGGGTGTTTTCTAAATGGTAGACATATTCCTCCCTTATAAATTCTTTTCTACTCTTGTAAAGAATAACCTACATTTGCATTGACTGGAGAATTTCTTCAGGGGAATTAAATTCTTTGCTATGTCTAGACAGTCCCTCAAACTCAAATTCTGTTGGCAAAAACAGCAACCACCTTCTGGATAGAAGGGTTTTTTCATTGCCTGGGCTCAGTCAGAGCCAGAAGTTTGGGAAAACTTTCAAAGGAAGTTAAGATTCATGCTTCAAGTGGAAATTCATGAAGCCTCCTCATCCCTCAAACAAAATGAAATCCCACGTGATGCCCAAGTGTGCCAGACCACCTGAGATATGGGACTTGGCATTCTTGCTGGGCTCTGTGTCATGTCTACTAAGGAGCTGAATCTGTCCTGGGGATGTGTCTCTGTGGCCATCAAAAAGGTGTCACTAACTTCGTAAAGGTGGGCTGCATGCTGGCAGTCCACAGCCTGCTTTTCTCCAGCCACCATCTCAGGAGGAGCCTGAGGTTGTCTGAGAGGCGGTGGGCAATGCACTGTGGCCCAGGCAGGCACGGTTCAAGGCACAAAGCTGACTGGAATGGGCTGCCATGAATGCTCAGGGTGGCCAAGGCTGTAGGATCTGGCCACATTCTTGACCACTGCAACTTTCACCTCTTGTCAAGAACACTGACATACTTGCTTCAAAAATGGCTGATGCCCAAAGTGGGGCATATGATGGTTTCAGGACAGTGGTTTATAGCTTATGTGCCACAAGGAGCTATGTGGATCACTGAAAGCTCTAAAATGTTCGCATCAGACCAGGGATATTTCTCAGTGGCACAAATGCCTGCCTGGCAAGGGTGAGCTTGAGTTCCACTCCTAGTACAAACAAATTAATAATAAAATAAAATAAAAGGTATGCCATCACTGTTCTAGAAGATGGGAAGAGCGAGAAGAGAAAGGGGAGAGCGAGAGCACGAGCGCACTGCGGGGCACCAC